GCACACACAAGTGTATCTTGAGTTAGTAGCCAAGATTGGCTGTAAAAGGGCCACACACAGCTTCAATACAATTGTAACTCTGTTATTGGAGTATAAATTCATACAAATCCTGAGAAAAACTCCGAAAATATATGAATTATTAAAGAAAAACAACAAAACCACCTTCACAAAAGCCGACAGTAGACCCCTGGCGGTGGCCTGACGAACTACGTCTAGCAACGCCGGGACCAGTTCGAGGCTGGGCCCAGCCAGTTGCTTTTTTTTTTAATGGGAATTAGCCCACCCGGGCACAGATCAAACGACCCACAACGGGGCCTGGGGGGGGGGGCGAAAAAGGAACAGAAATAAATTTAAAATATAGAAGAAAAAGGTTATACTGTGTTAATGTACACCAGGAGGAGGGTTTCTGTTTACTGGGGTTGGCGTCTCTTGGTGCCGCAGTAGGTGATTGGTGCTTTGGTAGAGTTAGTTTGTCTAACTGTCTCTGTCCGTCTGTCTCTCAGTCTCTGTCTGTCTTTGTATCTCTGTTTGTCTGTCCGTCAGTCTGTCTCTGTCTGCCAGTCTATTTTTACAATGTCTGTCACTGTCTGTCTGTGTCTGTGTTTGTCTCGTTCTGTCTATCTGTCTGTCTCAGCCTCTCTGTCTTTCCACTATGTCGGTCTCTGGCTGTCTGTTCTGTCTCTCTGTCTGTCTGTCTTTCTGTCTGTCTGTTTTTTGTTGAAGGGAGTTGTTGAGTTAGGTTGTTTTTATTGAGAGGGTTGTCGCTGAGGTTGGGTATGGAGAATTGTAAGTATTTCTGTGCGGCTTTGTCTGGGGGGGGGTGTTGCTGTGTTTGGAGGTTGGTTGGTATTTTATTTTATTGTATTTATTTATTATTTTATTTTATTTTTTATTTTTTTATTTATTAATTTATTTATTTATTTTTATTTTGTTAATTATTTATTTATTTTTTGTTGGGGGGTGGGGGGGGGCGGTGGTCGGGTATGTTGATTTATAGGATAGGATTCCTTAGGGAGGATTTGTAGACAGACAGACAAACAGAGACAGTTAGAAAAACAGACAGACGGACGGACACAGACAGACAGACATTAAACAGACAGACACACAGAAACAGACAGAAACCGTCAGACAAACGGACAAACACACCGAAAGACACAGACAGAAAAAGACATACAGACAGACAAACAGACGAGCGGAGACAGACAGACAGGGAGAGACAGATAATCTTGGCTAATAACTCAAGATAAAGAAGGAATCGCCGTAAATAAGAAGGTCCGGCGCTCTTCTCAGGCTCGACCGCTGTCACCCAAACTGAAACAGACAACTGTCCCTTGACTCACCACGTAACCATAACGTATCTGATTGAGTTGTTAAGCAACAGGAACACTTTGGTAAAAGAAGAAATAATAACAACTTGTAGGAATCTCTCTGTCTGTCTGTTGGTCTCTGTCATGTCTGTCTGTGTCTCTGCCTGTGTCTCAGTCTCTGTCTGTCTTTATATCTCAATCTCTGTCTGTGTGTCTCTGTGTCCGTTTCTTTCTGTCTGCCTGTCTGTCTGTTTGTCGCAGACACAAGCAGACAACTGACAGACAGACAGACGGAGAAATAGAGGGACAGACAGAAACAGAGACGGCGACATAGACTAACATATAGACGAAAGAGACAGACAGACAGAAAAACAGAGGCAGAAAATCAGAAAGACAGAAAGAGATCGATATTGTGAGACAGACTGGCAGAAACAGTCAGACACAGAGACACAGATAGAGACAGACAGTGAAACAGACTGAGATAAAACGACAGAGAGAAGCAGATAAACAGAGAAGACAGACAGGACTGACATACTTTGTCTTTCTGTACGTTCAGGATTACACTCTGTCAGGTAGTTTGTCTCTTCTGTTCACGTCTCTCTGTCCGTCTGTTGCTGTCTCAATTCAGATTCTGTCTTTAGAAAGTCTTGCCTGTTCATCTCGTCTGCCAGACACAGACAAGCCGAGACACAGACAGACAGAGATTGAGACACAAAGACACAGATAGACTGAGAAAACACACAGGCAGACACACACACAGACAGATGGACAGAGATAGTCAGACAGACAAGACAGAATGTGAAAGGTAGACAGAGAGGCAGACATACAGATAGACAGACAGACAGAGACCTACATTGTGAGAAAGATAAGACAGGCAGAAAAGACGCAGAGACGCACAGTCAGAAAGAGACACAGACATGAGAAAGACAGACAGAGGAAGAAGACAGGCAGAGCGAGAAAGAAATTACAGACAGACAGACAGGGTGAGAAAACATACAGACAGACAGACATACAGACAAAATGAGACTGTCAGACAGACAGACAGAGACAACAGACAGAGACAAACAAAAACATAGACATACAGACAGAAATACACAGACAGAGACAGACCCACTCCACGGACTGGGAAGCGGCGTGGAATCCCCCCATCCCCCCACCCCTTCCCTCGGCCATCCTGGGAGGTGCAACGGTACCCATCCGTAGTTGGCAACGGAAGGCATCAGGACCCACCGACATGAAGGGTACTGTGGATGGTACCATTCACCACCTCCCAGGATGGGCGAGGAAGGGGTGGGGATGGGGGGTTGAGGATGGGGACTTTCGCCTTCCCAGTCGGTGGGTCCTGGATACCTTCCGTCGGCGCCTTATTAGGGGACCAAGCTCTTACCTGTGTTTTATGTTGGGGCTTTATATTACATGATACATCGCTAAATTTAATACATTAGGGTTTATTAGATGTATTAGTGACTTGTTATATTTGTTTGTCTCTTGTTTACTTTTTGTTTATGCCTTCCTCACATTTATCTTATTCTCAGTTGATTTTGTTTTCCCTTCACAAGTAATTCATTGTTGTCTTCTACACTCCCACACTCTGTTTATCATTGTTTCTAATTGGTTGTTTGTCTTGTTTAACTTACTTTGTTTACAGTTGTTTGTTCTTTGGTTATTGTTAGTTGTTTTCCTTCTGTTTATCTTAGTGTATTTTTGTTTGTTTACTTGTTTGCTTGTTTGTTTACTTTCCTATTACTGGTCATACATTGCCTTACCATCTAACGAATTGTGTAGAGATGAAAGTCCGTTATATCGAGGGTCGTTAACTAAAACCTCCATCTAACGGACTATGGAGATGAAAGTCTGTTATATCGAGGGTCCGTTATATGGAGAGAGAAGTCCGTTATACAGAGGTATCACTGTCGTATCCTGTAGCAGCGAGGGATCTTGAAGAAGGCGTCGAGGTGATGGGTTTTGGCCTGTGACCGTCCGTGGGTCTGCGGCCACCCGCCCACGGACCCATCAGGCCCTTCTACACCATCTGTGAGGGAACTACTACATCATCAGGCCCTTCTACACCATCTGTGAGGGAACTACTACATTATCAGGCCCCTCGTAACACCATCTGTGAGGGAACTACTACATTATCAGGCCCTTCTACACCATCTGTGAGGGATTACATTATCAGGCCCCTCTACACCATCTGTGAGGGAACTACTATCATCAGGCCCTTCTACACCATCTGTGAGGGAACTACTATTATCAGGCCCCTACACCATCTGTGAGGAACTACTACATCATCAGGCCCTTCTACACCATCTGTGAGGAACTACATTATCAGGCCTCTACACCATCTGTGAGGGAACTACTACATCATCAGGCCCTTCTACACCATCTGTGAGGGAACTACTACATTATCAGGCCCCTCTACACCATCTGTGAGGGAACTACTACATTATCAGGCCCCTCTACACCATCTGTGAGGGAATTACTACACCACGTCAAGCCCCTCACAACACCACCTGTGAGGGAACTAGTACTCCACGTGATGCCCCTCATAACGCCATCTGTGAGGGAACTAGTACTCCACGTGATGCCCCTCACAACACCACCTGTGAGGGAACTAGTACTCCACGTGATGCCCCTCATAACGCCATCTGTGAGGGAGTTACACCTTTCTCTAATGAAGGCTTTTGTTAAACCACCAATGTATGTAATAAGTCATTTATGTCCAATGTATATTTTCAGCCTTCGGGCTGCAGACTTTTTCAATAAACCGTATATTATTATTATTATTATTATTATTATTATTATTATTATTATTATTACTACCTAGCCAACACCCATCTCGGTTTAGCCACACCCACAACTGCCCATGAAACACTGACTGCTGCAATGGGGTCTTAGTCTCACTAGTTTCTTAACCCATTGTAACCTAACCTAACCTAACCTAACCTACCCTAACCTAGGTTTGGAGATACTGATGAAACAACAAACATTAACATTTTACTGCTTAATATAAACTAATATATAGGAACGTTACATAATTTTCCTCTGTGGATGTGAGAGAAACACCGTTAAATAATTTATATCTCTCGAGGAGGAAAAACAAACAGTTCATAATTTGTCTGAAGTTAAAAAGTATAAATAATTTGTCTCGGTGTAAACAAACCTAAAATACATATAATTACGTCGTATGGGAAGGAAAAGTAAACATTGTATATCTACACTATAATGAAATATTCTCACAATGAAACAATAAACAGTTAAGATTTTATGTACAATTAAAACAACAAATCCGGATAAAAAATAATTATATCCGATCATAAGTTTTAATTCTTATGTATTTACTTTGTTTTGTTTTTTCATGGGAACAAAATGGTGAAGAAGACAACGAGGTTCTCAAGAGTGACTCAAGGTGTTAATTTATTTCACCAATTTAATATTATCGTAAGATCATTTTGGTCATCAGTTTCTTGGAGTCGTTCGTCGCTGAATAAAATGTTCCTTTGTTTATAAAATTATCTTTATTCTAATAACTAATGGTACTGTGTGTGTGAGGCCGGGGAACAGCTGTGACTGAGAGGAAAGTTGTGTTAGAGATAGATAATGTAGTACACATGCCATTAAACACATCACATAGGGAACAACATAAAGGTTAATGATAAACTATTCAATCAATTTATATCTATTGAGTTTATATCAACAAGGTTGGCGGGAGGAAGCGGCGTCGTCTTGAATGGCGTAAAACAACTGACGGAGAAAGTTCTTAAGGGATGGTCGCTGGCTGGGGTCATTGTTGAAGGCAGTTTTGGTTACAAAAGTGGTGTTAGGATGGTCGCCAGAGACCTCACCAAGTAGATCCTTCATCAAGACCCCGAAGGAGAATACGTCGGACTCGGGTGTGCTGGGCTGGCCACGACACACCTCGGGTGCGCGCCACAAAGACCTGTTGGGGTCACGGTCCCAGTTGAGACTCTCGCCCGCCTTGCATGCCTGTCCGAGGTCGATGAGGTTTACTTGGGGAGCCACACGACCACCGTTGACCATTATGTTGTCAGGTTTGATGTCGTTGTGTATAATGCCTTTCTTGTGGAGCTGCAAGAGTTGCTTGCCGGCCAAAACCCCAAGTTCTAGGAGGTTGTACTTTTTCTTATTATTGAACATATGGTATGCGAGGGTCTTCTTGCCGCTGAAAGAGCACACGATGGCTGGAGTGTGTGGTGCAACAGCCAGAAGTGTAGGAACGCCGCCGGCGCCATCGGCTTCAGACATTAGTTTGGCTTCCTGTTTGAAATGGGTATATTTTGAGGAAGATTCTGAAATGCCGATTTTTAGGACGGCAGGTTCATCCTGCCAAGGGACGAGGTAAACTACCCCTTGACCCCCGTCGCCGAGGACGCTGATGCGGAGTGAGACGAGATGCTGGACCTCCTTGGAGGTCAACTTGGTCACTTTTCGGGTCATTGTGAATTATTTGTGGTTACTGAACCACCTAAGGACACCAATTCATAATTCGGGGTCCAAAAACATAATCAAGTTGGAATTTTTAATGTAAAGCCTCACTTGACTTTATAGTAATGAACATGTAGTACTTAGCGTGTGTGTGTGTGTGTGTGTGTGTGTGTGTGTGTAACACTCAGAGGGACGATGGTGCACGAGGAGTAATAACTACACAACAAGTTCAGGAGCGAGGTGTCACAAGGGTGCTGACTAAAGGGCGTCATTAAGTAGTGGGATATGATTAAGAGACGGTTCTGAAACATGACGTGTGACAACAGTACGGAACACATTATTAATATAAATGAATACCGCACAAATAATACCATATTACTTGTTTTTTGTCATCCACAGCTCATTGAACACACACACACACACACACACACACACACACACACTTACCGTCTACCACTTTTGGGAGCAGACGTTGATCCTGAGCGTCCCACAAGGGGTTGCCTGTAAACCTTCTCGTCACCTCCTTCATCATCCCCCCATCTTTCCTCATCAATAAATTAGTGCAAGGATTGTTAACCAGTTCACCACAATTGATAAAAAGTGACAATTTCAACTGGAAAAGAATTGATTCAAGTGTTGATAATGGAAACACGAGTGAGGTGCCAGACTATATGGGGAAGATGGTATGGTCTTGAACCTTATTAACAACCAGTGCTAATGACCACGTTCCTTGTTGTGAGAGAACCCTGCCATACTATGTGGAGCAGTTTACAACATTTAGAGAGGGAAGTACTAAAACCACATGATCCTCTACCACGCCACTGGAGAGGGAAGTATAAAAACCACCTGATATCCATAACCACAACACCGGAGAGGGAAGAACTAAAACCACCTGATATCCTCTACCACGCCACCGGAGAGGGAAGTACTAAAACCACCTGATATCCTCTACCACACCACCGGAGAGGGAAGTACTAAAACCACCTGATATCATCTACCACACCACCGGAGAGGGAAGTACTAAAGCCACCTGATATCCTCTACCACATCACCGGAGAGGGAAGTACTAAAACCACCTGATATCATCTACCACACCACCGGAGAGGGAAGTACTAAAACCACCTGATATCCTCTACCACACCACCGGAGAGGGAAGTACTAAAACCACCTGATATCCTCTACCACGCCACCGGAGAGGGAAGTACTAAAACCACCTGATATCCTCTACCACGCCACCGGAGAGGGAAGTACTAAAACCACCTGATATCATCTACCACACCACCGGAGAGGGAAGTACTAAAACCACCAGATATCATCTACCACACCACCGGAGAGGGAAGTACTAAAACCACCTGATATCATCTACCACACCACCGGAGAGGGAAGTTCTTAATCCACATGAGATCATCTAATACACCACAGTGTCAGCTATTCATAGATAACCTCTATTGTAACGCCATGTTTAACTTCTTGTATTGAAAACTTGTGTTAAATAGTTCACTCCCTATTGTCCCTATACCTAATAGTGCTGTGTCATTATTATTATTATTATCATTATTATTATTACACAAACTCAATCCCAGATCCTCCTGCACACATACATTGTATCTCACACCTTGGTAAAACAGTCCTCAATCGTGACCAAAATACTAAATTCCTCGGAGTTATTGTGAATGATAAACTTAACTGGAGACACCACATACAAGCCATCCACAGTAAAGTCAGTAACCAGTGCTGTATTCTGTATCACACTCGACAGTCACTCACTCTCACTGCAATGAAAGAAATCTATTGTGATCTTGTTTACCAACACTTGATACACTGTCACACACTATGGGGGGGCCTCTGGAGTAACTAAAACACAACCCTTGGCCACTGCCCAGAAGAGTCGTGCGGACAATGACCTACTTAAATAAAAATGGTCACACTAACGAGCAACTTGTTGAATTGAAAATGTTAAAAATTCTAGGATATTAACACTTGTTTATAAATCTGTTAATCACTTGAGTGAGAAAAAATATTTTCAATTCTGGAATAACCAGAGGTACAACTTAAGACACTCAGACCTACGAAGACCATCCCACATGTGCTCCTCTCAGTCCCAGACCTCCATAAAATATCATGGTGTGAAGGTGTGGAACAACTTACCCCCACCCATTCGAGCAAAGACTATGCTCCCTTAATTTAAATCATCTCTAAAATAATACCTATCACTCAAATTTAATATTTTTGTACCACTTACTTTATACTCTTACTTTTTTTGTTCCATTAAAACCATTATATCATATATTGTCATGTAGATAAAAATTACCATTGCAATAATTATATATTTGCCGTCAAGACGTGATCCTGATTGTCTCTGTCCCCTTGTTTCATCTTAATACAATCCATGTTGTATTGCTTCCCTCACTTATAAGAATACTGTATATTAACTCCATTGTCAATATGTATATACTTATAATATGAATGTAGAAAATAAATAAATAAATAAATAAATAAACAAGTGAAAGTTATGGAAACATTCTCATATGTATTTACTAACATCATGTTACTTGTACTTTTCCAGATGATACTAAATATTATATAATAATTCCTTGAGATAAATGTACAGTATATATCAGGTGCCATTAAGGGAGCTGAGGCTCTCAATTGGCTCAGCCATATTAATATTGTTATTATTATCTACTCTATATCTGTATTTTTCTGGCTCAATAAACTGTTTAAATATCAATCCCACCAAGGAACATGTGCAGGAGAGATAAGGGCATGTATTCCACCCTAAGAAGGAGTTGAAGACCTCAAGCGGGATTTACAACAGTTTTTTGTTAGCTTTATGAACCGACGAATCATACAGACTCAAGTTTGTGTCTTCTGCTAACCTGAAGGCTGGGAAAAACTTTGTTTACACGACAGGTTTAAGGTGTACACGGATATTTGGACACGGAAGCATTTCCTGGAGTGTGAAGAATACTCTGTTGTTTATAATTATTATTATTAAATACTGTAGTTTAACCTGACAAATGAGTCTCATTGTGAACTGGTACTAAGCTTGTCATTCTAAATAAGCCTTCAAGATGGTGTGGCTGGCGGGTGTAGGGGGTGAGGAACTCATTGATAAGTTCAAGGCAGCTATCGAACGTATGAGGGTGAAGGAAGGGATCTCTATCATATGTGATGTCCTGCCTAGAAGGAGAGTTGGCAATGAATGGTTGTCAAGGATATTTGGTGTCAACGGCCGTCTTGATAGATATTGCAAGTCAGTATCAGTCTCATTCATTGTCAACTGAGACAACTTTTACGGCAGAATGGACCTATATGCTAGGGATGAGGAGGCAACCCTGGGTGGTTCTCTGGAGAGGGCAGTTTGAAAGATGCAGGGGAACATGTGATTACCGGTACGTGGATCGAGGAGACTGCAGTGGGCGCAGGTAGACAAACCGAGAGTTTACAGAGAAATTGTGCAAGGAATGAAGACAAAGCTAAATTAGGCACGGAGTCAAATTCTAAACGTGACAGTTAGAGGACTCGGATAGCGACTAACTTAAATGTAACAATCACCGAAACATGGATAAACTTAAACTCACGTGATTCACCTGCCGAATACCAAATTAAGGGCTATAAATTATATCATACCGATAGGCAGTTCAGGTAAGGAGGCGGAGTAGCCATCTATGTAAGGAATAATTTGAACTCTGAAATCAATAAGGAAATAAAAAAAAACTGAAGTGAGCACAGAAACAATCAGGATAGAATTAACCTTTGGTAGGGAAAAATTAATCATAGTAGTAATATATAGAACTCGTAATCTCAATAGGGTTAATGGGCGACTTATTTGGGATGAAGTACGCAGGGCGTGCAGACTGCTACCTGTGTCAACATACCGCCGAACCCACCCGGGGTAATAATATAGTAGATTTAGTTCTGTCAAACAGAGAAAACCTCATAGTAACGTCGAGGTAGGTAACGAAAGAGACCATAAAGAAGTGAGATTCAAATTAGAACTTAATTTCAGTCGCAAGGAAAATTCTATGAAAGTCCTAGATTTTAGAAGGGCAAACTTTGATAGGTTGAAAAGGCAGCTGAGAGAAGGAGTATTATAGTTGGGGGTGAATTACACGACCTCACGTGAGGTGACCTCATACAATGTACCCGCAGAGGACGGCGACTTCACTGTACCTTGTGACATGTTCACTATAACATTAGTACTACATGTTCACTACAGCACTAGTACTACATGTTCACTATAATACTAGCACTACATGTTCACTACAACACTAGTAATACATGTTCACTATAACATTAGTACTACATGTTCACTATAGCATAAGTATTACATGTTCACTATAATACTAGCACTACATGTTCACTACAACACTAGTAATACATGTTCACTATAACATTAGTACTACATGTTCACTACAGCACTAGTACTACATGTTCACTATAATACTAGCACTACATGTTCACTACAACACTAGTAATACATGTTCACTATAACATTAGTACTACATGTTCACTACAGCACTAGTACTAAATGTTCACTATAATACTAGCACTACATGTTCACTACAACACTAGTAATACATGTTCACTACAGCACTAGTACTACATGTTCACTATAATACTAGCACTACATGTTCACTATAACATTAGTACTACATGTTCACTACAGCACTAGTACTACATGTTCACTATAATACTAGCACTACATGTTCACTACAACACTAGTAATACATGTTCACTACAACAGTAGTACTACATGTTCACTATAGCATAAGTATTACATACTACAGCACTAGTACTACATGTTCACTATAATACTAGCACTACATGTTCACAACAACACTAGTACTACATGTTCACTATTACATTAGTACTACATGTTCACTACAGCACTAGTACTACATGTTCACTATAATACTAGCACTACATGTTCACTACAACACTAGTAATACATGTTCACTACAACATTAGTACTACATGTTCACTACAGCACGAGTACTACATGTTCA